GGAGTAGCCCAAAGTGTGCAGCCTTACGCCATAGCGTACAAAGGGGTTGAAAGCACTGGTTCTGAAGCCAGACTGCCTAGGATCTAGCTGTGTGTCCTTGGACAATTTACTCAAGCTCTTGGTGCCTCAGTGCTCTCATCTATGAGGTAGGAATAATACGAGTACCTAACTCATAGGACCTTTAAGATTGTTATGTCAAGTGCTTAGAAGAGTGCCCGGCATATAGCAAGCTGTAAACGAGTGTTAGCTGTAAAGGGAACATGACAGTGGGGAACTAACACAGGTATGATACAGAATAAAGATCATGTAAAAAAAAAAAAAAGAGAGAAACAATGAGATTTCCAAGCAATTTTGCACTTGCCTTGGGCTGTTGAAGTCAGGAAACAGATGAACAAGTGGGCAAGTGAGAGGCAGTGGCTTTACCCAAAGAACCAAAGGTCAGCTATCATTCAGCTCAGACATCCCTGTGATTGGGGGCCGGTGGTTTTTATTATTAATTAGCCAGTGATTCTAACATCGGGTAGCTCATTACCTACAAGAGAGATGACTCCCTTGATGGATGGACTCATTGTTAGAAAATTCTTTCTTTTGTCGATCTGAAATTTACCTCTTCTGTCACTTTGTACTGGTCCTGGTTCTTTCCTTTGGAGTAATATAGAGTACATACAGGTAAGGAGGTCAGTTGGTTGTGTTGCTCCGTTAACATTTTCTTCTTCAGCTTAAATGTCTCTAGGGTCCCTGAGCTTCCTCCATATGACATGGGTTTTGAACCCTTTATTACTCTTCTCTTGGTATAATTTACTTGTCAACATTTTTCTTAAAATGTAAGACCCAGAGCTAGTAACTGAGCATGTTTCTCTTAGATGGCACACAGTGAAATATAAAAACTATTATTTGCATTTTAGGCCAATCTGTGTCATTAATTGACTCTATAATATTGAGTTGGTCATTAATTTTCTCATCTTCCTCAAATAGTATACTAATGAAAGATCATAAACAAACTTTTTGATATGGGTAATTTAGATACTCGTAAAAAGAAGCTAAAATACTTCGCTTTAATGAGGAAAAAGTATATCAGCCTTCATGCTAATAATCAAATTTTTGCTAATTAATTAATGTGAAAATTTAAGCAAAGATTTCTAAGATCATTTCCGTGATGTTGCAGCTATTATTATTATTATAAACTCTACAGGTAATAATATCTTGGGTGAGGTTAGCTTTATTGCCTGAAAACTAAACTTCTTTTAGGTGTTGTAGTTAATCTAGTTGGTTAACTGAAACCAGAGCTACTACTTATATTTGATATCCCTATTTTAATTTATCTGAGTATTTGTTATGAAGGATAATTGTCACCCATTTTGTGATTTCCCAATATAACCAAATATATTATTTATTTTTAGTTTCCTTAATTTGTTGTTTAGTAACCTCACCATTTTGGTTTGAAAAAGTTCTAGAATCTTCTTTGTAGTACTTACTTTGTATTCAGGTCTCATTTCTACCATTGAGAAACTTTGGGTGCTAGGGCACGTCCTTTGACTAGCTTCTTTTTTTTTAACATCTTTATTAGTGTATAATTGCTTTACATTGTTGTGTTAGTTTCTGCTGTATAACAAAGTGAATCAGCTATACATATACATTTATCCCCATATCTCCTCCCTCTTGGGTCTCCCTCCACTCTTCCTATCCCACCCCTCTAGGTGGTCACAAAGCATGGAGCTGATCTCCCTGTGCTATGTGGCTGCTTCCCACTAGCTATCTATTTTACATTTGGTAGTGTATATATGTCCATGCCATTCTCTCACTTCGTCCCAGCTTACCCTTCCCCCTCCCCATGTCCTCAAGTCCACCCTAAGTCTGTGTCTTTATTCCTGTCCTGCCCCTAGGTTCTTCAGAACCTTTTTTTTTTTTTTTTTGACTAGCTTTATACACTGTCCTCTTCTGTGAATTGAGAGCCTTGACCTTGACTACCGCAATAGGTCTTTGTTTTTCTGCTTCTCCTTCTCCCTCCAGCCCATCCTTTTTCCATATCGCAGCTAGCAGGGTCATTTTAAAATGTAAATCAGATCCTGTCATTCCCCTGCTTAGCACATTTCAAAAATTTCCCCGTGTACTTAGAATAAAATCTAAATTCCTTCCCATGGCCTATACGGGCCCAGTGAGCTGGCCTCTGATCATCTCTCCAACTTATTCTTTTTGCTCAATACCTTTTAGCTATAGTAAATAGCTATAGACCATAGCTATAGCTATAGACCATTCAGTTTTTTCATAGCACTTAACAGTTTATAATTATGTATGTTTTGGGTTTGTTTACTTGTTAATTGTTTCCACCACAAGACTGGATGCTCAGTGAGGGCAGGTAATGTATTTTCATTCACTGATCTGAAACTGAATGTGTTGGACATAGATGGCCACATATTTATTGTTCTTAAAATCCTATGATTCCTATTACTTCCAGATAAGTGTGCAGCTTTTCCTTTCCCTTGGTAGTGTTTATCAAATCCTCCCCCACCACTTGGACATTCATATTAAAATGACTGTCTGCCTATATATATATATATATATTTATATATATATATTTTTTTTTGACTCTCACTGTTGTGGCCTCTCCCGTTGCAGAGCACAGGCTCCGGACACGCAGGCTCAGCGGCCATGGCTCACGGGCCCAGCCGCTCCATGGCATGTGGGATCTTCCCGGACCGGGTCACGAACCCGTGTCCCCTGCATTGGCAGGCGGACTCTCAACCACTGCGCCACCAGGGAAGCCCTGCCTATATTTTTTAATACTAATTTTTTGGTAAGTCTAAAATTACAGTGTCAGGACTTCCCTGGTGACGCAGTGGTTAAGAATCCGTCTGCCAATGCAGGGGACACGGGTTTGATCACTGGTCTAGGAAGATCCCACATGCCAAGGAGCGACTAAGCCCGTGTGCCACAACTACCGAGCCCGTGAGCCACAACTACTGAGCCCGCATGCCACAACTGCTGAAGCCCACGTGCCTAGAGCCCATGCTCCGCAACAAGAGAAGCCACTGCAATGAGAAGCCCATGCATTGCAATGAAGAGTAGCCCCTGATCGCCGCAACTAAAGAAAGCCCATGCGCAGCAGTGAAGACCCAACGCAGCCAAAAATAAATAAATAAATAAAATAGTTACAGTGACATATCAAAGCTTGTTAAGTCCCAGATATATCAGTGTCTGTTGCATTCTTTGGTTGATTTATTTCTAGAACAGTTTTAAAATGATTACACAGTGTTCCCAGTGATTTGTTTGAATGTGACTAGCCTTGGCCTATCATTATTATAAAATGTGATTCTAGGCTGTGCTTATTTTAAATTTGTTGATGTTATTTTTGTTGCGTAGGCATGCCAGCAGTTTATTCCTTTTAAGTGTCAGTATTGGGATCTGTCATCTGAAATACAAGAATCTTTCTGAAAACTTAGCTTAATTCTGTTGCCATGCTACCCAGGGACAGTAAATTATTCATTTTGGGGTCAAGTCACCAGAGTACTGTTTGGTCATTTACCTAGTGGCTTAAAGAGCTAGAGTGTTTGCCCAAAGGGAGCCATTTAGGCCTCTCTCAGCACTTAGGATCCAGTTTATGGTTTATCTCAGATGGAGTGTGGTAGGAGAGGTTCATCCTGTTCTCTCTCTTCAGATTGAAGCTTAGGAAACTGACTCATTTTTGGACCATATTTCCTTTCCTTTTTACATTAACAGTAACTGTGGAGCTGAAGCTCTGGGGAGGTGCTTGGCTCTGTCTGCTGAAGTAGTTCCAGTGGTTGAACTCTCTCTGGCAGCTGAGCATGTTTCATTTAAAGCTCTTCAGAGCCGAGTAAATCTTGGCAGAACTCCATAGAAGCCATAGCATATAATTCTTTTTTAAAGCTACTATATTATTAAATAAAGAATTTGGGGTAAAGTGATTGCTTTAATGGTCCTAATAATACTATTTTAAAAGGTCCTTTTATCATTGTCATTACAGTGACTTTATGATGTGGTCCAAGGACCTTACTAGGAAGAAACCCTCAACCCTGAGTGGGTACTTACAGGGACAGGGAAAAGGCTTTGTAAGATGCCGTTCAGAGTGCCACCTCTTTCCTCATCGCTGCCTCTTTCTTGGATGCTTAGGAGAATAGCTCTGCCATACATAACCTAGTCTTTTGGTTTTTTTAATGAAGTGTAGTTGATTTACAATGTTGTGTTAGTTTCAGGTGTACAGCACAGTGATTCAGTTATACACATTATATATATATATATATATTTTTCAGATTCTTTTTCCTTATAGGTTATTACAAAATACTGAGTATAGTACTGTGTAGTGCTATACAGCAGGTCCTTGCTGGTTACCTATTTTATATATAGTAGTGTGTGTATGCTAATCCCATCCTCCTAATTTATCCCTCTCCACCATAACCTGCTTTTAAGCTTTAAGCTGACTCAGCCAGGCATGAGGTGGTCTGATGCTGTGAAAAAGCGTGGATCTGGGGAGTCAGGAAGATCCGAGTTAAAATCTGTACTCTGACATTTTATAATTGTGAACTTAAGTTCCTTAACTTTCTGAGACCCACTTCCCTATCTGTAAAAATAGGGTTATAATACCTACCTTGTAGGGTAGTTGTATTAAATGAGATAATATATGAGAGATTTCTTGCCATGCAGTAGGTTTTCAATTGATTTCTTTTCTTCCTCTGTGTTAATACTCAAGTATTTTTTAGTGGTGGTAGAAATCCCATGCATCCGCAAATTTAGAGGTATCTAGCTCATTTCCGTCTTACGTGCAACTGTCCCCTCAAGAATGTAAATTTGAAGTGTCTAATAAAGTTGGCCAGTTCATCTATTTCTGATGAATTAAATAGGGGAGGATGGCATTTGGGTAATTAGCAAGCAGTATTTAAAAAAATAGCCATTTAAAATGGTTACATTGCAATATTTTGAAAGCTTAATGATGTTAATTAAAATTATCTTGTTATTGATCAGCATTTTTTTGTACCTGTCCCCAGGGAAGGAAAAATATGCAAGACGGTGCAAGTGATGGTGAAATTCCAAGATTTGATGGTGCTGCATATGATAAGGATCTGGTGGAAGCCCTTGAGAGAGACATTGTCTCTAGGAATCCTAGCATTCATTGGTTAGTCTGCTAAGTTCTTGAATTACAGTAGTGGAGAAAACAAATTGTAGGTTGGCTTGGTGTGAGTCTTGTCTTGTTATCCATTCATCTCCTGATTATGACCTCATCCGTAATATGAGTGTGCAGAACTGGTAGGACAGTTCTTCTTCCAGAATATAACCAAGACATTTTCAGACTAATTTGATGTGGACATAACTGACAAAGGTTGTTAATTGAATAACATGTCCTAATTTATAATTGCAATATGTTTTCACTGATCATTTTATACAGTAAAAATTAGAATAATGTTCTTAATGTAAGAAAAATTTCATAATTTAAAAGAATTGGTATTGATCATAAATCAAAGGTGTCCCTGAATAAGCATGAAACTTTGCTCTTCTTACAAAGGGATGACATAGCAGATCTGGAAGAAGCTAAGAAGTTGCTAAGGGAAGCTGTTGTTCTTCCCATGTGGATGCCTGACTTTTTCAAAGGGATTAGAAGGCCATGGAAGGTGAGAATTTATTGAAGTAATATAGGTATAAAACTGCTGCTTGCATGGTAAAGAACGGCAGCACTGTAGTTTCTTTGTGTGTTTATTAACACGGTTTGTAAAGGTTGGGGGAGGTTGGGCAGCCCTCAGGTACCTGGATTTGGATTTGTGGTTGCGATATGCTGCCTCTGCCTGGCAGGAGAGGGGCCTGGAGTGGTGGAACTATAGTCTTTAGAGTCACTTCCCTCAGGGGCGCTGAGCTAGAGATGAGTTTTAAGAATTTTCTAGATGTCTGTTTTTGTAAATAAAAAGTTAGCAAGGGGCTTCCTTGGTGGCGCAGTGGTTGAGAGTCCGCCTGCCGATGCAGGGGACGTGGGTTCGTGCCCCGGTCCGGGAAGATCCTACATGCTGCGGAGCGGCTAGGCCGGTGAGCCATGGCCGCCGAGCCTGCGCATCCGGAGCCTGTGCTCCGCAACGGGAGAGGCCACAACAGTGAGAGGCCCGCGTATCAAAAAAAAAAAAAATAAAGTTAGCAAGCAAATTAAATAGTAATAGTGCATAGTCATAGAATAAGTGTTTGATCAAATAAATTATCTTTTTAAAAGCCGGCGTATTTCTCAGTAATTAATTAGTTTGAACACTTCATCTAGGCTTGGTGTAATTCTCAGATGTAATCAGAATGTTTATATCTTTTTAGCTTGCCCAGGACTAGTTCCTCCTAAGTTCAGTGTTTTCATTTTAGCGTATTAAAAACCCTTCCAACAGCTGCTGCCTGGAACTTTTTTTGGTCTTAGCCATAGGCAGACTCTTTCTTTACTCTGACTGGTAGAGTGAAATAAAAGCATGATCTTACTTTGCCCTTCTGAATTAGCTGGGAAGGTCTTTTACCTTCGCAATACCTCTTCCTTGTTTGATGTGCCTAAAAGTAGAGAGGAGGAGAAATTGTGTGTTTACATAAATGGCTTGGAACACCCATGGCATTTTGATTGCCTCTCACAACTTAAAAACTTTTATAGACTGTTTGTTATAGATTTACCTAATTTGGGGACCATATTACCATAAATTTCCCCTTTATTATAACTTTAAAAACAATGTTTAAAAGAAATAATAAGGCCTTGATAAAATAGGTATTTAAAGGAGTTTTAAAACAGCTGGAATGGTAGGTATAACCTATGTATCATGACGAGCCCTGTACACTTTTAGCAAGAGGGTAATTTGCAAATGTATGAAGATCACCTTGGCAGCAGTATGCAGGCTGGATTGGAGATGGGCATAGATGGATACAGAGAGGAGTCTGATCAGGAGGCTGTTGCAATAGTCTAGCCAAACGATGAGGACCTGAACAAAGGCGTTCGTTATTTGGCCAATGAAGAATGAGTGGATCTGTGAGAGGTATTTAAAAGGTGTAAGTGATAACATTATGACGTGATGGTTTATAGGGGTAGGGAGAGGAACAAGTTGTATGACTCCTAGATTCCAGGCTTGAATTACAGGAGTATGCAGCTGCTCGGATACCAGCTACCCAAAATTGGGCCAAACTTCACAGGTTGAGGTCAGTTTTCCACAAGACTGCCCTCACTTCAGATGCCAACCACAAATTTGGGGGTCCCCAGGTCACCCTCACTCTGACAGCTGGCTGTAAATTTGGGGGTTCTCACTGCAGCCTCAGGTTTGATAATTCTCTAGAATGACTCACAGAACTCAGGAAAGCATTGTACTTCCGATTATAGTTTTTGTTATAGCAAAAGGAGGCAGCTCAGAACTAGCCAAAGGAAGAAGTGCGTAGGGTGAGATCTGGGGGGATGCTGACAGTGTAGCTTCTGTTGTCCTTTCCCTTGCAAGCAGGATGCTTTACCCTCCTAGCGCATGGATGTGTGACAGTATACACAGTACTGCTAACAGGGAAGCTCACTCAGGCTTCAGTGTCCAGAGGTTTTACTGGGGTTTCATTGCATAGTCATAATTGATTGAATGGATGCCCATATGTCTCAATCTCCAGTCTCCCTTCTCTCCCCAGAGGTCTGGTTGACATCGCATGCTCAAAGCCCCAGCCTGCTAATCACAGGGTTGGTTTTTTGGGCAAGGCCAGCCCCCATCCTGAGTCATCTCATTAGCATAATCTATATAGGGACCCACCATGAGCCACCTTATTAGCCTAAAATTTCAGGGCCCAACATGAACAACAAAGACACTCCTTTCACTTGGGAAATTCCAAGGGTTTAGAGTCTGCCTCCCAGGAACTAGGGAAAAGGGCCAGCCAAATTCTTCATTAAATAGGGTACAGTGAACTGATACTGGAAATGAAGGAGAGGAGCAGATTTAAATAGAAACAAAATATATTTAGGTGAAAACTCAGTGGGTAATTGGAAATAGAGGTCTGGAGCTCGGGCTAGAGTTTAAGTTTAAATTAAAATTGTGAGATATAAGTGGTGGTTGATAATTTGGGTATGGATGAAATTGTTCAAGGAGTTTTATAAAGGGTTTTCAAAAGAGCAAAAGATTTAGAATTGCTTTGGGAATATAAAGGGCAGGGGCAAGAGGAGACCTGAAAGCCACTGAAGATGGTCATGAGAAGGAGAAGCATCAAGAAAGAACCGTGTCATAGAACCAACCTAGGGAGCAGGGGTTTCAGGGAGAAGGGAATGAACACCAGGTATCGGTACCATCCAAGGTCAGAGAGAGGGAAAGAAGCTGTGAGTTGAAAAGTGACCATTGGTTGGGACTTCCCTGGACATCCAGTGGTTAAGACTCCGTGCTTCCAAGCAGTGGGTGCGGGTTCGATTCCTGGTCAGGGAACTAGGATCCCGCGTACTGCGCAGTGGTGCAGCCAAAAAAAAAATATGTAAAACTCAAAACAGAAAAGGAAAGAAAAGTGACCATTGGATTAGTAAATTAGGTATTTTTAGTGAAGGAGTAGAGGCAGAAGTCAGACTGTAGCTTGTGAAGAACAAATAGTAAACATAAACCATTTCTTTAAGAAGGTTGGCTGGGAAGGGGAAGGAAGAGGTAGATAGTAGCCAGAGGATTTGTAGGGTCAAGTGAAGGATTTTATTTTTTAAATAAATAGAGCCCACAGAGGAGGAGATACAGGAAATAGAGGAGATAATTGACAGGGTAATGTCATGAGGAGGGGAAATTTATAAACGCTGTACTGTATCTATGAGCTGTGTCTGCGCACAGATGCTAACCCTGGAAATTATCTCCTGCTGGACATGACCACATTAATGACATTACGGGAACTGAGAGGGCATTGAGAGGGGATGGTGGAAAGAGAAATAGAAACTTTTCTATAGCTGTGCCAATGCCATTAGTTGTCTTTACAGTTTTCAAAATATCAATCTCATGTATAAAGCCTTCTTGCAAAGCAAAAATTTTTCTTGTAAAACTAGTGTTTCAAATCCTAGTGATCCCTGGTTGTCCTGGGTATCAAAATTCTATAGCTAGAAGAGCGTTTGGACGGTTTCTGAATTTAGAGTTTATGAAACTTTGATATGCACATAGTTTTCAAAGTTTAAATCCCCCAAAGCTAATTGAATTAAATTAACAAATGGCTCCAAATTCCTCTTAAGATCACGAACTATTATGCAAAAGAAATGTAGTGTTAACTATATATCTGAACTCTCATTAAAAGTGTTAGAAGAAAATAATAAGTATTTAAAAATCTGTTAGTCTTCAAGACTAGAGGATTGGTGTTCTTGGATAATTTTTACTCCTCATTGATTTATTTTTATGGAACGTTTTTCTGTTTGTTTCAAAGGTGAGAAGTAACTAAAGTTTATATTTTAGTCTATGTAGTGGCTTTTTCATTACTAACACTATCTTATGTAAACTCTTAACTGCCTAGCACAGTTAAACTGATAAAAGGCTAGCTGATTTGATTATGTTTGAATCACCACTAGATTTTAGCTACCTTATTTATTAACTGATGAATGGATCTTTATTTCTGATTAAAAGTGTATATTGTAAGTGTGTTGTTAAAGATAGGTTTTGTACCTTAGGAGGGCGAGGGATATATAATTCTGCTCCATGTGGTAGAGAATGTCATCTTATTTTCATTGCTTAAACAGAGCAGTCACTCTTAAGCGGTGCTCAAGACCATACATATTTGTCTTCTGCCAGGTTCAGTAAAATCGGTGGGCTCTTTCTAAATGTACCAGGAGATTCTTTGTTGTCTAGGCCCTTTGTTAGCCCATCTCTGAGTACCTCTGATTTGAGACCTTTTGTGAAACCATTCTTCATTTTTGTTTTTTCTGTCTGTGAAATGGTATTCGTGCCCAATGCGCCATGAGTTTACTGTGGCAGTTGAGCTTATCTTTTGATGGGAAGGGTTTCGTGTACAGTAATCGTTGCTGATATTCTATTAGAAAGCACATTAATCTGATAAATCATTTCGTGTGTCCTTTGGAATTTCAGGGCGTGCTGATGGCCGGGCCCCCAGGCACTGGTAAGACCATGCTGGCTAAAGCTGTCGCCACTGAGTGCGGTACAACATTCTTCAACGTCTCGTCTTCCACGCTGACGTCGAAGTACAGAGGGGAATCTGAGAAGTTAGTTCGTCTGTTGTTTGAAATGGTGAGTGATGTTATATTCGGATTTCAAAGCACTGTTGGTGTAGGCACGTGGTATCCCTTTAATCTAGATCCGTTCACCCAGGGATCCTTTTAAGAAAGGGCAAGTGTACTTATAGTTTCACAGTTCTTGACACGCTAATAAGACACGGGGCGGTGGGTTGATGTGTCTTCAGCATACCTTCCTCTCTGAAGTAAAAGCCCTTTGGCGTCCCGCCCAGTTCAGGTAGAAGAGACTTTGGAAATGTGTGTGGTTTGACTGATATTTCTGGATCTCTAATGAGCTGGTGAGCAGAAGTATATTTTAACATATATTTTGAAAATCAGAAATTGATCTATCATTAAAGTTTGTTCCTTTTTCAAAGTAGTTTGCAGTAGCTACTTAAGACTGCATATTTGAGGATAGATTGGTGATTTATCTTTAGAAACTTTTTGTATTATGGAAATTTTCAAACACAAAAGTAGAAAGAATAGTACCGTGAATCCTCATGTATCTGTCACCTGACTTCACCAACCATATAACTTATCGTTTATGTTTAGAAATTTTTCTGTTTCTGATATGATTGATTAATTTAACCTCTGTCTATAAGCAAGTGATGGCATTAAAGCAGTGAGAAATTTCTGCTCTTTTTCACCATTGTTTTAGTCGGAGGAAATGTCTTTTAAAAACTTCAGATTATTTCAGGAGGTCATTAAATGATTTCTTTAAACTATTTTCACAAAGGCTAGGTTTTATGCCCCCACCACCATCTTCATTGATGAGATAGATTCTATCTGCAGTCGAAGAGGAACCTCTGATGAGCATGAGGCAAGTCGCAGGGTCAAGTCTGAGCTACTCATTCAGATGGATGGTAATTGATATTTAATTACTGTCTCTAAACTGTTTTGGTCCCTTTTTGAATTTTGTGTAGATTCATACTTTGGAAATTCTCAACGACCGGACTAGAAGGCAGCTGAATGTATTTGTAATCATTTATTCATCCACGCATTTGTACATTTGTTCATGCACTCAAAAAGTATCTATTGCTTACTTGCACCATCTCAGGTTCTGAGGTTAAAAAGAAAAGGACTGTTGTGGCCTTCAAGGAGCTTACCATTTAGAGCAAAGCCTTTAGAGATGTGGCTCAGGGTCCCAGGGGTCTTTAAGACTCTTTTAAAAGGTGTGCAAAGGCCAAACTATTTTCATAGTAATATCAAGATGTTATTTACCTTTTTCACTTTCATTCTCTCACAAATCTCATTTTTAATTTTTAATAATAAATGTTGATATACTACATGCACACAAAAGCTCTTTGGAGGTCAGTAGTCTTTAAGGGTATAAAAAGGATTCTGGGACCAAAAGTTTTGAGAACCACTGATCTAGTTGAGAAGCAGGCGCTTCACAGACAATTACAATACATTGTGAGTTCTGTGGTAGAACTAAACTCTGGGTTTAGTGAAAACATAGTACGAGAGGTACCACGCGGACTAAGGGAGTCATAGAAGGGAATAGCTGACTTGGGCTTTGAAATATTGGTATAAGTCATTCAGACAAAGAAGAAAAGGCTTTGGGGAGCCATTGGAGGAAGAGAGTGATGGGCCCAGAGCTACTTTTTAGAGATATATCACTCTGGTAGTTGTATGGTGAATAGGAGGCTACTTAAGCAAATTATGAGAAAACATATAATGTGTTAAAAAAAGTATATATATATATATATGTATATGTATGTATGTATGTATGTATGTATGTATATCCACAGTGCATTGTTTTAAAATAGCTGTGGTTATCCACCAACCATAGATACTAATTGAATACTTAAAACGTGTGTTGCATACAGTGCCAGGCACTATAAGATACATAAAATAATGTAGTACCAGGAGCTCCTTCCCTCAATGAGTTAACCGTCTTAATTTCTGTTAAAGTGTAATATGAGAGACAGGGGTGACTATGTTGTACTTGTTCTATAGCTATCTGTTGACTTGTCTGGTTCTGACACCATGCAGAGGTCAGAAGAACTGCATCATGTTCGTCATTGAGCCTCTACCACCAAGCCTGTGGCCGATGCTTAGAAATGTTAGTTGAATGAAAGAATAAAGGACTGTAAGAAAAACACTCTTCTTTCCCCCTTACTGTATATAGGAGTTGGAGGAGCATTAGAGAATGACGATCCTTCCAAAATGGTTATGGTATTGGCTGCTACTAATTTCCCATGGGACATTGATGAAGCATTGCGAAGGAGATTAGAAAAAAGGATATATATACCTCTCCCAACAGGTATGATGCCTTCCTTTTACTATATTTTGATCTTTCTTTTACTCTCTGTTACATTTTTCTATTTCTGTAGGTCTTTATTCCCTTGGCATTCCGCTTAAAGAAGTTTATAGCATCACAAAACCCATTTGTTATTTATGGAAACAGAGGCCTCAGTACTCTGCTGAAGTTTCTTACATTCAGAGGAGTGGTTGTGTTAATAAGTTGATAGGACATCTAAGTTTTACTTTTATTTATTTTTAATTAATTTATTTTTCTGGCCGTGTTGGGTCTTCGTTGCTGCGCGCAGGCTTTCTCTAGTTGTGGCAAGCGGGGGCTACTCTTCGTTGTGCTGTGCGGTCTTCTCATTGTGGTGGCTTCTCTCATTGCAGAGCACAGGCTCTAGGTGTGTGGGCTTCAGTAGTTGCAGCACACGGGCTCAGTAGTTGTGGCACGTGGGCCCTAGAGTGCACAGGCTTTAGTAGTTGTGGCGTGTGGGCTCAGTAGTTGTGGCATGCGGGCTCAGTAGTTGTGGCTCATGGGCTCTAGAGCGCAGGCTCAGTAGTGTGGTGCACGGGCTTAGCTGCTCCACAGCATGTGGGATCTTCCCTGACCAGGGATCAAACCCCATGCCGCTTGCATTGGCAGGCAGATTCTTAACCACTGTGCCACCAAGGGAAGTCCCTAAGTTTTACTTTTAAACTTGAGTCTTCATTAAAACTTACGTGGGGCTTCCCTGGTGGCGCAGTGGTTGAGAGTCCGCCTGCCGATGCAGGGGACGCAGGTTCGTGCCCCGTTCCAGGAGGATCCCACATGCTGTGGAGCGGCTGGGCCCGTGGGCCATGGCCACTGGGCCTGCGCCTCCAGAGCCTGTGCTCCGCAGCAGGAGAGGCCACAGCGGTGAGAGGCCCGCGTACTGCAAAAAAAAAAAAAACTTATGTGATACAAGTTTTTGTCCCTGTACTACAAAAAACAATGTACGTTGATAAGAATGTGAAAAATTTTAAATATTTTTATAATGAAAAAAACTTCAGTGATTAAAAATAAAGTTCTCTTGGGATCTTTTTTGAAGTATGCTGCTTTGAAAAGATATTTCATTCTGTTGATGAATGTTGACATTTTCATAAGTGAGTTTTTTCTTTTTATATTGAGATAAAATTTACATACAGTGTGAAATGTACAAATCTTAAGTGTACAGTTTGATGAGTTTTGACAAATGAATACTCTTGTTTAATCAGTACCCTACTCACGATGTGGACATTTATTTCACCTCGAAAGTTTCTCTGTGCCCCTACCAGTTGACTCAAACCCCTAACAGTCATTCACCTTCCTGAGTTTTAACACCATAGATTAGTTTTACCTATTACTAAACTTCATATAAATGGAATCATGACATATGTACTCTTGTGCATCTGGCTACTTCCACACAACATAATGTTTCTGAAATTCATCCATGTGGTTACATGTATCAGTAGTTTATTTGTGGTGTGATTACATGACAATTTGTTTATTCTCTTTTTGATAGACATTTGAGTTATTTCTAGTTTTTGGCTATTATGAATGAAGCTATAAATATTTTTGTATAGATCTTTTTATAGATGAATATTTTCAATTCTTTTGGGTAATATAGATAAGAAGAGAATAGGTGGATCATAGGGTAGGTATGTGTTTAACTTTATAATGCTCAAACCATTTTCCTAAGTGGTTGTACCATTTTATACTCTCACCATCAGTGAATGAGAATTCCAATACTTCCATATTTTTGCCAACATTTGGTATCGCCAGTATTTTAATTTTAGTCATTCCAGTAAGTGTGAAATGCCTTATTTTCTTTCAGTTTGTGGTTTGCCTTTCAATTTTCTTTATGGTGTCTTTTGATAAGCAGAAGTGTTAATTTTGATTAAGTTCTCTTGTCAGGTTTTTCTTTTATGGATAGTGCTTTTTGTATCTTAAGAAATCTTTGCTTACCACAAGGAGTCAAAGGTTTTCTCCTATATTTTCCTTTAGAAATTAGAGTTAGATCTGTGATCCATATTGAATTAATTTTTTTGTATATGTGTCAATTGTTGGTTGAGTTTCATTTTTTTTCATATGTATATTGAGTTGTTCTAGCATCACTTGTTAAAAGGAGTTTTATTTTTCCATTGAGTTACTTTGGCACCTTTGTTGAAAATTATTTTGCTGCATATATGTGGGTCTATTTCTGAATTCTCTGTTCTGTTCCACTGATTAAAAAAAATTAGATATAGGGTTATCCTGTCAGGTTATCTATTTTTCATTGAGTAGGCTTTGGTAGTTTGTGTTTTTCAAAAAATTTGTCCCTTTCCTCTAGGTTGTCAGGTTTATTGGGATTTGACCTAATACAAACATGGAAGCTGACTAAATGGTTTATGTGAGGCTGTTGATTTCATGTCTGGTTCTGGAGCCTGAAGTCAGTAGGGAGGGCAGTAGGAAGAGAAGATGAAATGGTGGAAACAAGAACAAACTGTGTAACCTGTGGGGATGAGCTGGAACTCATGAGGATAGACTGGAACACACACTGGGCTCTCATTGCCTCTAAGAGTTACAACTTTGATGATTGCGGTGTCCTTTAGAAGAAGCTGGCACTCTTTGTAACAGCACTAAAGGTACACCTGGCTTAGGAGTCAAGCTGCAGGAGGAAATCTGACAGGAGCTGGAAAGAGTTGGAGGCCCAGGTGCTGTCCCTCACTAAAAAGATGAGCCGGCGGACAAGCGACAATAGGCCTCAGCTGCAAATGCTCTTCATGCCCTGAACTAACTTTCTGAGTTGATTTCAGTTCTGCCTTTCACATCTTGTCCATAATGACTGATGTGGTCCCCACTAACCCAGAACTATGTAAAGAAGAGAATTCTGAGAAGTGAAATTCTAACTTCACTGAAGTTGACACAGTACAAATCCACACACCTTATTTTCTGTTTTGTCTGTATGATCTATAATAATGGCTCAATTTTCATTCCTAGAAGAGGTAATTTGTGTTTTATCCCTGTTGTTCTTGATCATTCTTGCTAGACATTAATCAGTGTTATTAATCTTTTCAAAGAACCAGCTTCTTGCTTTGTTAATGTTCTGTTTTGTATTTCATTGATTTTTATCTCTTCTTATTTCTCCCTTATACTCTTGAGTTTAATTTTCTCTTTTTTTATGAAGTTAGAAACTTAGACTGTTGATTTTAAACCTTTGTTCTTTTTCTTTTAATATAAACATTTAAGGTTGTATTTCTCTTAAAGCACTGCTTTGGCTTCATCCCACAAATTTTGTTATATTTTCTTTACTATTCAATTAGAAATATTTAAAATTTTTCCTTTTTCTTTTTTTCCTTGACTCTTGAGTTATTTAGAAGTATGTGGTTTAGGGAATTCCGTGGCGGTCCAGTGGTTAGGATTCTGTCCTCTCACTGCTGAGGGCCCGGGTTCAATCCCTGGTTGGGGAGCTAAGATCCCACAAGCCGTGAGGCAAGGCTGAAGAAAAAAAAAAGAAGTATGTGGTTTAGTATCCAAATATTTGAGGATTTTCTAGATGTCTTGTTGTTGTTGATTTCTAATTTAATTCCACTATAATTGAGAACTACTCTGTAAGATGTCAGTTTTTGAATTTTGTTGAGATTTTATGATTCAGCACATAGTGTGTCTTGCTGACTGTTTCAGCGGCAGTTGAATAGAATATTTATTCTGTACTTGTTGAGACAATGTTCCATAAATGTCAGTTAGATCAAGTCGTTGTGATAGTATTGTTTAAATCTTCTAGATCCTTAATGATTTTTTGCTCTGGTTTTTTCTATCAATTATTGAGAGTGGGTGGTTAAACTTTTTAAGTATGATTGTGAATTGGTTTATTTTTCACTTTAATTCTGTAAATTTTTGCTTCATGCAGTTTGAAGTCCTGTCATTAGGTACATAAACAGTTATCATTATTATATCTTCTTGATTCTTCTACCTTTATGAAACATCTCTTCACCTCTGATTAAATCCTTTGACTTGATGTTTACTTTGATATTAATATAGCCTCACCATCTTTGTTTTGCTACTGTTTGCATGATATATCTGCTTCCTTCCTTTAGTTTTCACCTTGTACGTGTTTGTATTTGCAGTGCAGTTCTTGTAGACAGCATATAATTGGGTCTTACTATTTGTATAGTTTATCTTTGCTTTTTAATTGCAATATTTTGTCCATTGAAATATAATGTAATTATTGACATGGTTATGTTTAAGTCTGCCATTTTGCTATTTGTCCCTTTTGTTTGTTCGTTACTCTGTACCTCCTTTCTTAATTTCTCTTAATAGTTGACTCTTTTTTAGTATCCATTTTAATTTCCTTATTGGCTTTTAGCTATACTTAACTGTATATTTTTTAGCAGTTACTCTAGGGATTTACAATATGCATCTGTAACTTATTACAGTCACTGTAGAGCTAATATTGTACCACTTCATGTAAAATGCAAGAACCATTTGCCTCCCCCAGCCTTTGCGCTATTTTGTCATGTATTTTACATCTGCATACATTGTAAATCCAAACATATAATGGGCTTAAATTGTCAGTTCAAACTTAAATTAAGAGGAGCACAAATAGTAGTCTTTTCTGTTTACCTACATATTTAGCATCCACTGCTCTGCTTTCCTTTTTAAGGTTCAAGTTTCCAGCTGGGTCCGTCTCTCATTTGTCTAAAGAACTTCATTTAATAGTTAAGGTCTGCTAGCATCAAATTCAGTTTTTGTTTTCTGAAATGTCTTTATTTCACTCTTATTTCTGAAGGCTGTTTTTGACTGGTAAATAATTCTGGGTTGAAAGAGGGCTTTTTGTTTGTTTTTTGTTTTGTTTTGTTTTTCTCTCAGTGCTTATAAAGATATCATTCTATAATCTTCTGGCCTCCATTGTTTTTTTCATGTGAGGTCAGCTGCCACTCCTATCATTGTATGTAATATATCATTTTTCCTCTGGTTATTTTTTTAAATTCAGCTTTATTGAGGAATAATTTATATATACTAAGCTTTATCCACATAAAATT